GGCCTGTGCCCGAGGGGCTGATCCGGCTCTACAGCATGCGGTTCTGCCCCTTCGCCCAGAGGACGCGCCTCGTCCTCCGCGCAAAAGGCATCAGGTGAGGCTTTCCCGGGGCGGGGAGCTGAAGCTTCCCCTTCGTACCTGGGTGTTCGAAATAGCTCTTGGGAAAGAACTGAACAAAAATCCGTTTCTGTGGGTGACTTCCCTATAAGACCTTTTGAGGGGGCGGGAGTGTTTTGCTGAAATTGGAAAGAAGCACTCTGTGTGGGGTGTAAGTAGGCTGTGTATCCAGTCAGTTATTTCAAGGATCAACGTAAATCTATAAGGAAAAACCTCAGGCCAATACTCTTTTATCTCACGTGTCGTCCTGAGCATTTGCCATAATAGCATTTGGGCTTGTTCTAGGTTCAGCAACACCAAGCGCCAGGCCCTGCACTTGAGTCACAATAACCCTGTGGAAGTTACAGGCTAGGCTGGAAGGCTGCGTGTTGGAAAGGGACCTGGGCTGTTGGCTGATAGGCAGCTGAGCATGAGCCGGCCGTGTGCCAAGGTGGCCAAGAAGGCCAATGGCCTGGATCAACAACAGTGTGGCCAGCAGGAGCAGAAAGGTGATTGTGCCCCTGTACTCGGCACTGGTGAGGCCGCAGCTTGAGTTCTGTGCTCAGTTTGGGGCCCCTCACTACAAGAAGGACATTGAGGCGCTGGAGCATGTCTGGAGAGGGGCAGTGAAGCTCCTGAAGAACAAGCCATATCAGGAGTGGCTGAAGGAAGTGCAGTTGTTTAGCCTGGAGAAAAGGAGGCTGAGGGGAGACTTTATTGTTCCCTAGAACTACTTGAGAGGGGGTTGGAGAGAGGAGGGGTCAGCGTTTTCTCCCTAGTAGCAAGCAATAGGATGAGAGGAAATGGCTGCAAGTTTTGCCGGGGGAGGTTTAGGCTGGATATTAGGAAGAAGTTCTTCACTGAAAGGGTCATTACCATCCCCAGAGGCATTTAAACAATGTGTTGATCTGGTGCTTAGGGACATGATTTAGTGGTGGCCTGGTAGTGCTGGGTTAATGGTTGGACTTGATCATCTCAAAGGTCTCTTCCAACCAAAGAAATTCTGTGAAATGTGAATAGAGCCTTAATGTATGTGGTTGCTTGATTTTGATGTAAGCTGCAGTGAAAATTCTGGGAGATATGAATATTCAGTGTTGCCATTATATTATTGCGTAGCAAAACACAGTAGTGAGTTGCCTTTTTAAAAGGAAATGTACTGTGTTCCTATAACATCTCAATCCTCTGCCCTAGTAAGTTAATAGAATTCAGTACTTGTATTTATTTCTTTTTCAAGATAGCCATGTTGTTTCAGTGTATTTGAATGGGGACTAATGCTTCCCTCAGTTTACAGCTTCAAAATAACTTTTTTTCACCTTTTTCTGATTCTCACGAAGTCCCAGGCCTGCCAAGGATTTGTTAACCAGCACAGGGCTAGGAGTTCCTGTTAGTGTAGTGAATGCTTACCACTCAGTTCTCCTGACTGCAAGATAAGAATTGGGTTTGTAAACACCTGTTCTGTGTGAGGCCATAGGTGGGTGTCCTGGTTTTGGCTGGGTTAGAGTTAATTTCCTTCCTAGTAGCTGGCAGAGTGCTGTGGTTTGAATTTAGTGTGAGAACAGTGTTGATAATACATGGGTGTTTTACCTGTTGTTAAGTAGCATTTATCCTAACCTAAGGATTTTTCAGTTTCCCATGCTCTGCCCACAAGCAAGCGCACAAGAAACTGGGAGGGAGTGTGGCCAGGAGAGCTGACCTAAACTAGCCAAAGGGGTATTCCATACATCGTGCCCAGTATATGAACTGAGGGGAGTTGGCTGGGGTGGGTGGATCGCTGCTCAGGCAGTAGTTGGTGAGCAATTGCATTGTGCACCATGTTTTTTTGGTTTTCTCTCTTTTTGTTATATTCCTTTTAATATTATTATTGTATTCTATTGTTTTTATTATTTTATTGTAGTTATTAAACTGTTCTTAACACACAAGTTTTAGGGTTTTTTCAATTCTCATCCCCATTGCACTGGGAGGGGAAAGGAGTGAGAGAGCAACTGTGTGATGTTTAGTTACTGGCTGGGGTTAAACTACAGGAGTGGGAAAGATAAGTAGGTAGGATGCTCTCCTGATTTGTTTTTTGGTGTAAGATCAAAGTTCAGCTGTGGTTCTTAATTGCAGTGTAGCTTATTTGCAATCAAGACCTTCTTCCTTATGCTTGTGAACCTGCATGTGATAATTGTGCTGCATTCTGAGCTTGACCTTTATTTTAGCATGTCTGTAAGGGCTGCCTCTGTAGTGTTCTTGCAGGCTGTTCACGTGTCTCTTATTAGTTTAACAAAGTACTCATTATCAGTGCTGATTTTCTATAGCAACAGGAAGTGCTCCCTGGCAGTATTTCTGTGTGCCAAATGGTTAGTCCTGCAAGGGGGCTTCAGGGAAGACAAAGGAGAGCAGAGGAATGAGGATTCAGCCTCTCAGGTAACTTTTCTTTTGCTCTTTTAGCCATGAAGTAATCAACATCAATCTGAAGAACAAACCTGACTGGTTCTTTGAGAAGAGCCCCTTTGGGGTGGTTCCTGTTCTGGAGACCAGCAAGGGCCAGCTGATCTATGAGTCCCCAATCATCTGCGAATATTTGGAAGAAGCGTTTCCGGGGAAGAAGTTGATGCCTTCAGATCCATATGAGCGAGCCTTTCAGAAGATGCTCTTGGAACACTTCTCAAAGGTACTGCATGATCAGGGTGGGATTGTGTTTCTTACTTTACCATAGCAGCAAAACCTGTAGCTCTGCTGCCAGTGCTCTTAAGGCATGTCTTGTATCTGGGAAAGCAAGGGTTATTTGGGGTCTCTTGCTCTAAGCACATTGAAACCACTGTGTGTCTGAATTGATCCCAGCACTTATCTGTGGGGATAGGTGCAGGAAGACAACTAAGCCAGTGAAATCATATATGACTGAGGCAGAATTTTGAGTATCCTACAGTAGATGAAAGGTTAGTAGACCAAACCAGCCGGGTGCTTGAGGCCTAGGCAGTGGCAATTGCTGTATTTTATTTTGAGTCTTTCCATTGGAGGTGTGAATGCCAAATGTGAGGAGTGCCTGACAGAGCCTGCAACATGGGACAGGAGATGGCAGGTGGCTGTAGACATGGGATATGTATTAAAGAGACTGATTTTGGCTCTCATTAGGGGTTGGAAGTGCACATTGTGGCTGCCTGGAAGTAACCTCTCTGTACAGGCATGTGTTTTGAAGGGTCTAGGAAGTGAAAGAAATCAGTTTGGATTTGAGGCAGCAGAAGAGAGGAAGCAACAGAAGATGCAAAGACATGGACAAGGAAGGGAGTAGAAGGGAGGATATGTTTACAACAGGCTTTTCTGAATATATGTGTTGGGAAGAGGGTTACAGAGGAGCATGCTGGAAGAAACAAAACATGCACTCAACATTGATTGTAGGAATGACAAGATCTCAGAAGAATGTTTGCCTATGAATATAGTTTAGTTAAAATTGGCCACTAGGCAGCTTCCTGGTACTGTATGCTAATTTCTCTGGCAGTTATCAAATTAGAAAATGCACAGGTTTATATAAGTCTGCATATCCTGGGCTGCATATCTCTTTCTCAAAGTGCCTTAAATGTTAATAATTACAGTGCATTTGGATTTCAGAAAAGTGTGATTGGGAAAAGAGTACCACTCTGCACCTTGCCACTTCTAGTGCTACTTTTTTGGTAGCATTTTTCTTCTCCTATTACAAGGCTAAAATTCTTTAGTATTTGCATGTGTTCTTTCTTTAAGCCTTTACTTATGTTTTCTGAAGCATAAAAGTTTTTTGTTAATGGACTTAAATATTTAAGTCTTCAAATCTCTAAGATTTAATTTGCATCTAGTATCTTAATGTCTTAAGCTCCGAGTGACTTGTATTATTATGATAGGAACATTAAACACTTTATTCTTGCCTTTGTATAGATAACACCCATAATTTTCAAGTATGTTGTGGCAGTCAAAGAGGGACAGGATGCCACGGCGCTGAAAGCAGAAATTGTTGAAAAGTTTGGCAAACTTGAAGAGGTAAGAGTATTTCATGACAATCAGCAGGTTGCCAATCGTTATGTGATCCTTTTTTCTTTCGTGCTTTGGCCTGTGAAGCTAGATCTCTTCTCCTTCAGTTGTTAGTTAGAGCAATGAGCTATCTCAAGTTTACTCCCCCCAGCATAAGATGCAGAACAGCACCATTAGCATAAATTCCAAGTAGCTAACCTAAACTTCACCTGTGTGGTGAAGTCTATATGGACTTGGGGAGGGTTTTCTTGAGTGCTCTCTGCTGTGGTCTTAAATATCTTTGTGCCTTAAATATAAGGAGCCATTGCAGCATGTTCTAAGAGCAACGGCTGAGGAGTCTGAGTTGCTGAGCAGCATCTGTGCTGTAGGTCTACTGAAATCAGTGCAGATACATTGATAATGAAATAAAATCTTTTCTGTTCAAGAAGTTATCTTTGGGGGGGTGACAGGGTGGGGAAGCAGAACGTAATCTGTCCTTTGCCTAGATCCTGGGCCTGTTCTGCTGCAGTGATATAATGCTACTTCAGCACAGCTCCAGAAAGTGTCATGTGGCTTTGGTGCTCTATTAGCAAATTCACAATCCACGTCAGTAGGGATTCTTGGCTAGTCTGAACTGCTGTCGGACTTGCCTTTATTATGAACCCATTCTTCCTGTGATTTTAGCAGCCATGACTAATGCTTGCTGGCTCAACTGAGAAGCATGTCTCCAGAGTGTTTCTCTTCAGGTACAAAGCTACCAATAACTTTCTAGTACTTTCCTCCTAAGTCTCCTAACAATGCTGTGTGTTCTGCTTCTCCGCCCTCTTGAGCTGCCAGAATAAAATTGTTTTCAGATTAGTCTTGTCTGTCTGATCAGGCTGATGCTGGAGGAGAGCACGTGACAAATGAGTTCTTGGGGAAAGTCGTGTGTTTCACTTCCCTGAAATACACATCTACTAAACATTAAGGAAGAATTAACCTTCTTGCTTTATTTGTGCTGTGAAATACTTACTGCTCCTTCAGTGTCTCTGTTTTACTATACCCTTGAGGATTTTGCAGCAGCAGCTGAAAGTCAGCTGAGAGTGGGAGGAAGAGAGGCATGCAAACTTCACTCAGCCTATTGCAAGAGATATTTGAGAAGCGAAGTGTTTTGAAACGCTTCTGTATTTTGTTTGCTGCTACCCAACAGAGGGAGTTGTGCTACTGTCTGCAACTGTGCAGCTGCTGGGCTGTATTGTGTCACATGCCTGGTAATTCAGCCAGCTTGTAGTTTCCTGAAGAACTGCTTTAGAATTTCTACTAGAGCATTGGGATTATGGAACTGGGAGTAAATGCCTGCATGTTGTGCATCCAAAAGGACAGAGATTTGTAATGTCTCTCAAGCTTCACCTTTAAAGTGCTCAAGGGACTAGTCTTCTTATGAAAGAAGAGACCAAGTCTGGCGGTTCCCTAAAGTATGTTAAACTTGGGTGACCGTAGGACTTGAAACGTATCAGAAGGATAAATGTAACAGGAGAACTTGCTGCATTTTTTGTGGCTCTGCTTTTTGTGCTGAGCTATGAGGATCTCTTTCTGCTGAATATGGATGTGTGTGGGGTTTGTGTCTGGTGGGGTTTTTTGGTAGCAAGTTGGTGGAGTGATTACAGGGATGGCTCTTGTTCAAAGCTTCTAGGGTCTTCCCTTGCTAGAAGTTGGATCCGCCTCTGGCCAAGGCTGAGCCAGTTAACACTTCTGCAATCAACATATTTAAGAGGGGAAAGCTGTTGGGTAACTTCCTTTGTGTTGAGGACTTCTTTGTTTGATGAGGAAGTGAGAGGAGCAACCACGTGGTCACCAGGGCTGGTGGGGAAGGAGGGGGAGAAGTGCACCAGAGCAGAGATTTGTCCAAGGCCCACAATGAGGTAGCAGGCTGAGCCCCTGCAGCCCAAGGAGATAAACGACAGTGTTGTCATCCAGATTGCAGCAGCACATGGAGGACTGCACGCTGGAGCAGAAGACTGCGCCTGGAGCATTCCCTGACTCCGAGGGAAGCCCATGCTGGAGCAGTCTCGCTGGGAAGATTTCAGCCCGTGGGAGGGACTCACGCTGGAGCAGTTCAGGAAGAACTCTGACTGTATGGGAAGGACTTGCATCAAGGAAGTTCAAGGAAGACTGTTTCCCATGAGAGAGACACTGTGTTGGAGTAGTGGAAGACTGAGGAGTCCTCTCCCTGAGGAGGGAGGAGTAGAATGGACAATGTGTAATGGACAGACAACAATCGCCGTCTACTGCCCCCCGCTCCATCAAGGGGGAGGAAGTAGCTGGGAAGAAGGGAGGGATGTGTGGAAGGTATTTTTAAGATCTAACTTTATTTATTTTCTCAGTATTTTACTCTGATCTAATTGATTAGTGGGCTGGTTAGCTCAGTGGTTTGAGTGCGGTGCTGACAACAATGACAACACCGAGGTCGCGGGTTCGATTCCCGCTCGGTCCCCGTGTGTTGTCTCGTCTCGTCGAGAGGTGGCGTCCCTGCCCACGACAGGGAGATTGGACTAGATGATCTCTAAGGTCCCTTCCAGCCTATGCCATTCTGTCATTCTATGATTGGTAAACTGATGGTGGTTCTGTTGTCTAAAATCGATGTTCGTTTCCCCAAGTCTACTCTGATTTTCCCCTGTGACCATAATTAGTGAGTCCTCCCTGTCCTTAATCTTTATCCTCAGGCCTTTTGTTGAATTTTCTCCTCCCCATCCCAGAAAGGGGCAGTGGGTAGGAGGGAGCGAGGGGCTGTGTGGCTCTTTGTTGCCAGCTGGGTGGGCTCAAACCACAATGGGATGTCACACTTGCTTCTGATTTCCTTTGCACCTGAAATTGAATCCAGTTCTAGATATAATGTTGGAAATGCTTTCCTGACGCCACTTGGCCTCAAGTGTCATGGGAAAAGTGTCTCTGCTAAGACAGTTCTAGTTTATCTGAATGTTAAATTTAGCTGGTTTTATTGCTCAAGAAATGCATGTGCATTGTTATGTTTGATTAGTCTGTGCCATTAATGCTTTTTGACAAGTAAGAAATTACAAACTGACAGACCCTGTGAGCTAAATTCCTTTTGGTTCATGTACAAACTGCAGCTTCCTAGTGATTAATATTTTGTGGCAGTTTTTGAACCTCTGGAGAAGAGCTGCACTGACTGTTGTATGAAATAGTTAAATTTATACTGCAGCTGCTTTACTGACTAGCTCTGATTCCCCAAGTATTGCATGCACAGGAGAAATGTGCTGTATCTCTGTTATTTGATGTTTGATCCCTGCAGTTCCACTACAAAGTGGGCTTTTTGTTACTGTAGTGTTCTGTTGTGGTAATTTTCCTTCTGAGGGCAGTTGTTGTCTCTCACCTTCCCACAGATTCTGTCCAAACGCAACACTGTGTTTTATGGTGGGGACTCAATCTCTATGTTTGACTACATGATCTGGCCCTGGTTTGAACGTCTGGAACCGTTCCAGCTGAAGGAGTGAGTACCTTGCCTGGCCTGTAGTGTGTACTGAAGTGCTGCAGCATAAATATGCTTTGCCTATAGTCTACAGCAATGGGCCACTCTTGGGGACTGTTGAAGAAGGTTTGTACTATGTTACAGTTGGGGGAGGCATCCTCTCAAAAGACAGGTAAGTTGGTCAGGGATTTTCTGTAAACAAACTTTTTTCCCCAAGTCTGTTTTCTTATCAAATAATTTTGACATATCTGGAAGAAGTGGTCAAAATATAGGACTTTTCCTCATCCCTAACATCTTAGTTGAAAATGGTCTTTATTTGAAGGGGATGGAGGTGTGGAGGCCTAGGTTCAAGTGTCTTGGTCCAAAAATGGTATCGAAGGAAGACTGTTTTATAGCTGACTTAATTTGACTTCTTACTTCTGTTTTATGTGAGGAAGCGGATGACAAAAGAAGGTGAGTACAGAACAGTTGGTTTCACCCTGGTGACCAAACTACTCTTGAAGAACAAGAAAGATGCAGGGAATCCTTGGCATTGAAATTTTGGGCACTAGAACCTGAGGGCTTTACTCCTCAGTTGCTGACCAGCTTTGTCTCCTGTGTGGTCCTTGATTGGAAGGGGAGGTATTACAGGCGACATGGGAGCATAGGTCTAGAGTCAATTAAGGTGTTTGAATGGCTGAGGATCTGAACCATTGTCTGTTAAGAAAAGATGCTTTCTGGGTAAGGGTTAGGAGGTACCTGGAGAAGTTATTCATTAACTACGCTTGGGAGCTGGAAATTGTAATGCAAAGTACTGGGATCAATCTGCCAGGAGAGAGTGAAAATAACAATTTACACTGCTAAGCTGTCAATTTGCCACATGGTGTGTTTTTTCAAATGTGTCTCAGTGAGTTTATGGATTTAGTCTGTTAGTAAAATTCTAGTTTCCTCAGTAAACTAGGTCTATATCTTGTGCTGATGGATTGCAGGGTGGTACAAACTGCACAACTTGTCTTGGCATGCGAGAGGAGAGAAGAGGTTCTTGGGGTGTGGAGGAGGACGCTGCACTTGCTTCAAGAACCACCGTTACAAAGCATTCCAGAGGGAGGCAGTGGTGCATAAGCCTCTGCCCTCAGCTCAGAGGAGATGATAAGTGAGAGCCGAGTATTTTGCAGCAGGGATAGCATAAGCAAAATATGTTGATATTTTGCACAATAAGTGCGCGTTTGTGGTTTTGCTCAGCTTTGCAGAGTGCACAAGCTCTATGAGAATTCTTTCGTTTCCCAAATGCTGATCTGATTTCTATGATCTGAGGGTTATTTCCGTCGCCTGCTCTTGAGATGAAAGTTATACTGGGAGGGAGAAGGCAAAACAAGCAGTAATCTAGAACTACTCAAGCTGTTTTGCTTCCTTGATGCCCTCCAAGTTTCCCATTTGCATTACTCAGTTGCTTTCCTTTTCCTGTAGCTCTTTGAGTCACACCCCAAAGCTCCAGCGCTGGATGGAGGCCATGAAGGAGGACCCTGCTGTCAAGGCTACAATGACTGATCCACAGATGTTCAAAGATTACCTCCAACTCTATTTGAAGAACAGTCCTGAGGCATGTGATTATGGGCTCTGAGGTGCCACTAGGCACAGGCTTGAAGTGTCAGTGATTTTTTTTCAGTGTGAGCTCTTCTGTGGTTGCATTTCACAATGGGGTAAGTCTGTGCTGAAAAGGCTGAGAAATCTTCTCTGAATTCCACTCCTTCCTGTCAGGAGGTGGACATGCTGGCTTCAGGCAGGGGATGGGAAGTAGTTGCTGGCCATGTGTATCGCATGAGGGAAAATACTGGCTTTACTCAGAGGTGATGTTCTGTTACTCAGACCTCTTTGCAGGTGCTGGTCCTGGGCGGTCCCTGAACTAACTCTGTTACTTGCTTTAATAATTGTAATACCGATGTCTTGAAAATAAATAAGCAAACAATGTTGTCTTTCAACACTTCTTTTTTCCTTCCTCTTTCCAGGCAGCTATTAGTTGCTGGACTGGTTGTGCGGAGAGGAGTGAGGCATTGTAAAGGCTAAAACAGATGGTATGGTTGCTGAAATTGAGATGTGGTTACCTAGTACAAACTGTCCTCCCTTTTAGAGAACTCTACTGTCAGATTACTGAACTTGCAACCTTAACCACTTATCTCTGCTGAAGTCACTTTTGCAGGGACCATCCATGAATGTCTTCCAGTTTGAGCTTGATGTGCAAGGGGAGTGTGTGGTTATAATCCTTCTCTGTCTTTCTGAAGTAGGGTCATGTTTATTCTAGGTCCTAACTTCAATTATTCTAAAGGCTGGAGTAGGGAGTAAGACTAACAGAAACTATATCCTGAGCAGGACATCTATTTTCTGTTCTGCTCCAGAACTCAAAAGTGTTGCTATAAATGTCAAGATGAAGGTAAAATCAGAGAATTAAAGTAGGAATTCAGTCAGAGCATTATGTACTGGTGGTGTCTTGCTGCTGGTGAAGGAATAAGTATGTTCTGTTCCTGCAGGTAAATGGCAAGATCAGAGCTTTGCAGCTGGATATCTCTGAAGCTCTACCATGTGCTAATATAGCAGAACGGGGGACAAGGTTATCTGAGTCAAAAGTAGTGAGAGGAAGGACTTCTTTCTCTCTCTTCCTCTCCACATAGGGGATTGAAACAACTACAACCCATTCTGTTGTTGCTCAGTTGTGTATTTCTCTCTCTGTCAAACCACTAACAACCCAAACTAGCCCTAGTTCCAGGAAGTAAGTGTGCAGAAAGAAATAAGGCAAAACATTATGTTCAAGCGCAGGGCTGTGGTTCCTGTGGTACTGAGGTTGTCATGGGATACACAAGGCTGCCCCATCTATCTTCCATTGCAGTGAGGTAAGGTAGCGTGGCAGAAGGTCATGGTTTATGGTTTTCCTGGTAACTGAGGCATTGAGCATCTTGGAGTTTCTCTGGAGAAAGACTGGACTAATGTTTTGGTTTTTTTCACCTTTACTGTGTTCTGCCCCAGCACACTAACTCTGAGGAGGTACACGCTTGTGTAACTTCAAGAGGGAAAGCAGATATGAAAGACAGATTTGATGAGGAAAAGGAATTAGCAGTAACTTGGTCTGTCAGCTTGTGGCTGTTAGAGAGGATTGTTTATGCTCTTACTAGCTTTAATTCAAGCTGTGCAGGCTTTTCCCCTTGTATGTATTTTTGTGGCTTCTAAACACATCTGGCACTACTTAGAGAAATACTAATTACTCTGCTCTTCTTTCCAGAGTGCTGATGTTCTTTAAAAAATTTTCCAGTCCAGATCTGATGCTGTACATGTTTTGTAGATTGTCATTAGAGAATCCAAAGGAAGCGTAAAGCTGTGAGGTGTGTTGTCAGAACGTCGATCTAGGCCATTTCATTAGATGAAAGCAGGGTCTGAACTTGATTAAGCCACTGTCTCTGAAAGTGTCAGTGCGATCTCAGTGGCAAACGTCCAGGGATTAACTGTAGAACATTTTGGGTTTATTAGCTGCTCTGTTTTTTAGGGCGCGTTAAAGCTGTTAGTGTAGTAAGCTCTAAATTGGCTTCTAGAAGCATGCTAGGAATTTGTTGTGATTTGCTCTGGTGTATTACTGGGTACTAGTGGGAGATGTGATGTTAGGGAGATCCAGTAATGGGTTAAGAGCAGAGACTGGCATCCAAAATCTAAACTGGCCAGGGCCAGACCTTGGTAACCAGAAGTCTATGTTGTCTGAAAGATGTGCTCTCCCCAACTTTGTTTAGTGGCTGTAGAGCGTACCATCATAAATACGCTACTTCAGCAGAAAAGGTAAAATGAAATATTCTGCCTTATAATTTACTATTAAATATCAGTGTTCTAAATCCCCAGGCAGACAGCTGGGATCCTAAACTCATTACAGCAAACCAAGAAATGCAGGCCTTGGGCAAAGAATTTTTAATGTGGTGATGGGTATGCAACCCTTCGGTCCAGTCTTCAAAGGAAAGGAAAAGTTGTGTGGAATGGACTATCCCTCTCCTTTCTCAGTGGATGGGTGTAAAGGGTATTAGTTTAAGAGGTCAAGAAAAGCAAATGTGTGTCTTCAGTTTTGGTCAAGAGGGAAAAAGTGGAAGAATCAAGCAGATGAACAGCTCTGCCCTTTGGTCAGAGATCTTAAAATCTATGGATCAGATTGTACAGCAAGTGCTGTATTTACCTACCTTCTATTCCATATTTTGCCCTCAAAAGTTGGCTGTGGTGCTGTTGCTTTCAAAAACAATGTTGGTGGGGTGTTGTGTTTGTTTGTTGTTACTGTGATGCTAAATATAACTGCTTTCAACACAGGTTAAAGAAAATAGTTCAGCGTCAAGCAAAAAAGGACAGAGTGCATCTTGTAAAAAGAGTAAGTTTAGGAGCATGATGGGTAGGTACTTTGGGTTGGAAGGTATTTGGCCTCGTTCTGTCCTGCATTTGTAGCATGTCCCTGTATCTTTACTGATGTCCTTGAGATGGCTGTTGGTACCATAATGCAAGACGTGGTCCAGCCTCTTGTTCTTCATTACTTTTTTAGGATTCCTTGTATTGAAGCTATGAGCAAGGTAGAGGGAGGAATGGGGATCCCAGGCTCTTGGATCTGAGAGGGTTTGCTGACTTTTGTGTAAGTTGAGTGGGAACTTGGGTGAATGGGGCTGTGGCTATGACAGAAGGCCCTTCCTTGGGGAAATTGTTGAGAAGAGTCTGTCCAGGGAGGTGTTAGAAGGATCTGTGGTTCTTGTGTTGGAAGTGGTAGTAAGTGGAGATACTGGTTTGAAAACTCTCAAATGTCACGTACTAGGGACACTTGTGTGAACTCCATACAGGTGTTTGCGGCTTTGCTGCTTTTCCTAAGCAATTAAAAAGGAAGAGGGAAGGAAATCTCATCTTCTTGCCATACTTCGTTTAACAGCTAGCTGTCCTGCTCGTGGGAGGCGCCTGCCTGTGTGTGAGTGCACGTGCTCTGCATGTGGTGTTGGCACACTGTTACATCTCCTGGGCCTGCTCCTCCCAGTTTTGCACTGTCGTGGCCTCTGTCGTGTTCCCTTGCATTATCAGGGTTTGAGAACTACTGGTTTCTAATCTCTCTCCTTTATCTGCTACTAGTCTGATTATTTCACCGCTCTGTTTCTTAGATGTTGATTTCAGTTTGGAACTGAAATAGACTCATTACAGGCATGAGATCAGATGCAATTTTATTAAATCATCCCTAATTTCTATAAGATGGCAGTCTTTACTGCTGGTCCAGAGCCAACTGGGATGGCAGTTGCTGATTTGTCTGAGTAAATTACTAATGCCATGTGATGTTATTGGCATTTTTCTCTCCTGAAACACTTTGATTTGCTAAAAGAGGAATTTTAAAATGGATCAGTGAGATGCAGCTGTGTCTGGGGTGGAGCGTGACAGCTGTCTCGCAGTGTGCAGAGACACTGTATCTGAGTCCACAAGGAAGTTAAAGTGCAGCTCCTTTCAAGGGACTAATGTACTGAGCCTGTCCCGTGCCTTTCACTTCCTCCTTCTGATGTGCAGGAGACAGTCTGTGAGAACTGCAGCACGTGCTGCAGGTTTGTGTCTGAGAACCACCACTCTTGGCAAAGCTGATGGAAAAAGCTGTATCTCCAGGGGAAATGGAGCTAAGAAAAGGGGCACTGAACAGCCACAGGCTGAATAGGGAGCAGACAATGTTTCCTGTAAGCTGCAAACTATTTGCATGAGTCACCTATGTGGCTGCACAGAAAAGACATGGAGGGGCTGGGGGAAAAGGAGAACAAAGCTGTCGTCTTCAGGCCACCTGAAGAATCGGTGAGAACTGACAGTGAGACAATACACATTTATATGTTCTTCCCAGAGCTCACTGCCTACATTCCCATTTCCCCAAAGGATGCTTCTGTGCCATTTCTCCTGTCGCTCAAACCATCCTCAGAAGGGAGCTCTCAACAAGAATGCCCTCTAAGCCAATCCACAAATTGGAGTGTGACTGGTTTTTCCTCTCTACATTCATCACATGGCTTTTAGGTTTGGAAGCAGAGTCTGTCTCCTCTTACTCGTAATAGCTAAGGCACAGTGATTAATCAGCTGTTTCAACTTGTAGAAAGACAGGTCTGATACAACCCATGCCTTCAAACCCCCAGGCTTGGTGCCTCTCTTTTCCTCTTCATATGCTTTATGTAGCTTGCCGGTGTTGTGCTGGTGTGTCTCTGCTCTGGATCAAACTTCACCTCCAAAGCTATGTGCAGGAGAGTCAGTGTGGGACCGTTGGTAGAAACCTGCATGTGGACAAGTCTGGCTTTTCTCTAATTTTAGGTACAGGAGCTTCATTGCACTGACATGATGTGATAATGCTGGCGGTAAACTGAAGTGGCAGGAATAGTGTGCTGATATTGCAGAATGCCAGTCCTGTGGGGAATACCTGTGCGATGGAGGCCAGGCAGAGCTGCTATCCATCACTTGTGCTTCCAGGCACAAGAACCATCCAGGGCTGCCCTGCCTGGTGCAAGCTGGCAGGAACGAGACCTGGAACACGTTAGCAAGCTAAGACCCTGTGGATTTGGGAAATCCCTCTGTACTGTTTGATTCCTGGCAGAGGGCTAGAGAGCAAGGCTGAAGGTTAAGACCAATATAATGATGCACCTGGGAAGGTGAAGTGACTGGTGAGTCAGGCTGTGAACAGCATGGTTTACTGATCTCGGTTCTGCCCAGCTCTGCCTACTGGGCCTGTATTGCACTGTGTTGGATCCTGAGTGCTAGATTGTCTGCA